GTGCTGAGGTCAGCTGTATTACACTTTTATGACACTTTGAGTTTGCGAGCCCCATCGCTATGCACGGCGGTGGCTCTGACCTGAATACGAGCTCTGAGGAGTGGAGATAAAGAGAGAGCCCTGCCTGGGTGCTGCCAAAAGCCACCAAAAAGGGTCACAGAACCTCACCTTTAAATACTGCTGTCTGCATGTTCGGTTGTGTATGAAGTCTAGGCGGTGGCATTTGTGTGTGCATTAGTTGAGGTCTATGCGCATACATGCCAGGAAAAAGCACCTGGGTGTGTACACCTTTGCATGTGAAGTGTGTTTGCCAAGGGGGGAGGGCCTCTTGTACTTTAATTATTCATCAGCAAAGACCCTACATGTCTCTTCCAGAGCCTCTCAGCTTACGGAACCTGATACATTATTGAGAGGATGATCCTGAAGAAAACAGATCAGAGAGGAAGCATGATACACCCACTTCATGGGGAGCTCCACTGATCAACTCTTCAAGTACCATCTTTTAGCAGCTAATCATGTCTTCCATTAATGTAGTGCACACCAAAGTGACACTGTGCCGTGGTAAATTAGAAAAAACAGATGTAAATTAGGGTTATGTATGAAAATAGGCTGCTACAAACTCTATTTCAAAAAGGAAATCTTTTTTTGGTTACAGTTGGACGGCAAAAAAAAAAAAATAGTATAAATCTTAGAATGTAATGGCAAGACAGCACATTTCTGTAAACACTGAAAGTTGAGGTAATTTGGTGTTTTTCAGTCACTACTGTGCATCGTCACCGGAGGTACAGTAAATACTGACGTGAAATGTCAAATGCAGCAGGGCTGAGGATAAAGTCACCTAGGCAGTAACAGAGATTACAGAGGGTCAAAGGGCTAAAGCAGGAAGTCAGGTGTATCTGAGATAAAGAAAGGGACAATAAAGCTGAGAAATGCTTCAATGGCACCAGAGGCCATTTTAAAACTGGCTTTGGTTAAGTCTGCCGAGGTAAGTAGGAGCATCTCCATAATAACTGGACAGACCAGCCCCTCTACTACAAAATGCCTGGAGAGGATATTCACAACCCTACAAGGTGTAACAACGATAATACCATGAAATGGAATGGAAACGTGAATATGTAGAGCTGAGTACACTCTCTGCGTTTCCTGCTTTGTATATTCATTTTAAAGCTTTTGTAACACTGCATAATGATATGAGATTTCAACAAACACACAGGAACAATGATGAGGTAAGAAGAGAAAGACAAAGAGTAAACCGTCAGTTAATGAGAACTGATATGAAAGCGCCTGGGTCTTCCCAGAAGCTTTGAAAAACATACAAAGTGCACTTAGTAAAGCTATCTCACCCAACGTTTCTAAAATCCTCCAATGTAGAACTAATAAGACACTAAAAACAGATACATGTAAATAAGAAAGATGAAGTGGCTAGTCGTTTAAGACAAGAAATGTAACAATAGTCATGAGAACACTGCGATTCAGCAGAGAGAGTTGTTATGTGCATGTTTGTGAATGTGTGTGTTTTTTTAAATGGCAGCAGCATGGCAACACCCAGGGAGAGCAGGCTAAAAAAGATACAGTAGCCTCCGTTCTGCACAGGCAGGTCTGTGTCCTGCCTGTGTCCACAGACACACACAAGGGGTTAAAGTTCAACTCCCCTGGTGTGCAGTCATTCAGTGAGAACTCAAGAACACATGGGCAAAAAACACCCATAGTGAATCACATGAAATAAAAACCTTACAGACTGTCAGGTATAACTGAGAAAGAATATTAAATGCCATAAACCATTTTCTTTGAGTTGGAAAAAAAATCAGTTCTCCCACAAAAAAAGTCAACTTCACATATTGTGGTTAATGGCTATGTCTTGTGTCTCACTTTTGATTCTCAGCTTGAAATCCTCAAAACAAAAATAACAAAAAGGGGTCCTGCCTCCACCTCAGTCTCACACACTGAGCACATTCTTTGCAGAGGTGAGGGCAGGACCAGAAATAAATACATTCATCACTGACAATAGACATTTGATAAAAAAAAAAGAACACTGTCAATAAGTGTTTGCACCAACTTTGTTTGAGGCCCGGCCAGCCAGAGGTTTGTGCTGCTTTTACTCACAGAACACAGGCAGCTAAGAAAAAAAACATCATAAAGCAGAAAAATGACAATAACATTCACAGTTAAGACTATCAGCTGCGCCTGTTTACATGCAGTGAACAAATCAAAGCTACATTCTCCAAATAGGTTTCGTGAACCGCCAGCATGAGATGTACCATGTTACTAAAACCACCCAAAACATTCTAGCATCACCAACCCACCCACTACATCATGGGACCCTCACAGCAGAGGTAGTCCTCGAGTGCATTTGGGCAAACAGAGTCACAAAATGTAGCTAAAGACCCTGTCTAACAATACCTTTTGATTAATACGTCAAGGATGCACTGCCCACCCCCATCGCTGCGCTCCCATCAGAAGACAGGCCAGAGGGCAGGGGGAGCGGGGCGCAGGGTCACCCCAAAGCCAGCTGGCAGAGAAGGGGGAGCCCCTAAACCACTTGCCCCTCCCCTTAATTGAATATGTAGCAGTTCACCCCATGTTTGACGCTATGCTTTTGCTTTGGCAGCAACCTCTGTGGAAAAGCATCTTTAAGAATAAAAAAAAATACACAAAATCACCTCTGTCTGGCCGAGCCTCGATTGAGGTCTGTAAAACTGTAAAAGTTTATGTAAACAATGAGATAAATACATATGTTTCTTTTTAGAGCCACACATGGTTCCATAATCATTCAAATGTGCTTTGGTTTAAAAAATAGTTTGTGGATTTGGGTATGAGCTTTTCTTTTCTTCTTCTTCTTAGTTCTTTATACAACTTTGAAACTATTTCTGAACATACTGTGTTACTAACTAAAATGTAGACTTGTTTCAAGCTGCCTCGCCTTTGTCCAGGCTCTTTGTGTTAGTTGAAAAAGTACCCCCCCGTTTGTCTTAAATACGAAACTAGTGTTTTGCTTTTCCCATGATTAAAATACAGAGAAATCGATACAATACTATGTCTTACAAATGTAGCTGAGAGTCTGCATTCGCAGATGCAGAACAATCCCTGAAGTATTTGAGTAGTAGTAGTACTAGTAGTAGTAGTAGTAGTAGTAATAGTAGTAGTATTGTCACAGTTTGGAGTTTTTTTTCTTCGTTATGTCAAGCAAACAAGCATTCAAATGCAACTGCAAAGTCTTTTGCAGAGATGGCTAGAGATCTTGATGTATAAAAACACCTTTTGCATGACAGACATTATGCTGTACTGCAGTAAGTGCTGACAAGTACAATAACGTTTGAAGGCAATGCATTGTGGACTCCCTCTTAAGCTAGAAGAGGTCACAAGCAACAGTGGATCAGGCGATAAATAACATGTTTGTGGTTGGGTCGGGGAGTGTGAAAAATTCATAGATGTACCATGCAATCACTGAACAGCAACTGCTTAAACAGTAAGACACCAACATCCAACATAACCAAGTAACAGCCCCGGGAGTCCAGGACGCAGGTACCTTTAAACGGTAGTGATGTTTGTGTAACTGTAGCTGCATCCCTATGATAACAAACATTTCACAGACCATAACATGAGGACGAAAGAGGAATACAAAAAATCAAGAAGACAGTTAAACCAACATAATAGAGGAATGCCTATACCAAAAACTTGTAGTGAAGGTTCATGCTCCACAGTGTAACTGTTAGAGTAGATACACTGGACAGATAACAGAGTGGCCATTCCCAACGCGTGGTTGCTTATGATGAGGTAAAGCTTTAGCGGTCTTAAATCACTTTAAATCATTCTGTGACATAATGAAATACAATCAGAAACAGAAGGATGCCGCAGGAGACCGGTGAGTTGTTCAGCTGTCCAGTGCATCTCTGCTTCTCCCTTCTTATTACAAGTTTTCACAAGTCTGGCTCAAAAACTAACAAGCAACTTGAACTTCACATTAAAATTCCGATTATAATTCCTATCTTTTTTGTCTTTTTCTTTTTTTTTTGGTCTGAACAGAACACATACACTGTCATCAAGTCCTGTTTTTAAAGTCAGGGAATATAAAGTGATAAGGACTCTGGATACAAACGAAAAGAAAACATGTTCAGGGAACACGTTTTTAAACTTCACCATTTCGTTAGGTGGTAAAGTTTAATTATACCGGCCCACCAATCAGCACAAGCTTTCCTTGCAAACCACAATAACCTTCCCCAGTCTCAGAGTCATTGGCCAACATTCCATCAAAAGAGTGGATTTCTTTGTCTGGACTTAGAATATAATTCATAATTTGTTTTATACAGCAAAAAGGAAATCAAAAAGTGAAATAATTTAGTATGCTATAAATCTTAAGTACATCTTTTTAAAACTTTGGTTATGAACTTGTCTAGCAATGTTAGTTAGCTCTGTTCTCCTCAACATTCATAAGATCTTTGGAACACTATACATCTACACTAACTAACCACTAATTGCTCCAGGCAGGAAGCTACAGTACACTTTGAGGTGGGGCCACACTGACCAGGGCACCCGAAAAGCTATATTTGACAAGTAAATACAACAGCTAAAAACAATATTAATGTGTAAAACCTATGAGCATCAAAAACCTGTGTTGAGAGATGGGCAGGTTAAAGCATTAGGTGAAAAGTTACCATAATCTACACACTTTTTACAATTAATTACATAGGAACTTTCAACTAATCAACATAGAGTTCGTAAGAATAATCAGAGGTAGCGAGGTCACAAGCCTATATAAATAGACTTTTCTTTTTTCTGAGGGGAGGAAAGCTATACAGACAAAAAAATAAACGTACCCACTGAACACAACGTTCAGTCTAAAACCCCTTCTCCTTAGCCAGCCCCCCCCCCCCCAGCCCAAATCCCTCCCCTCAACAAGAAAAATCCCAAGACTTTCCAGTTTACACATTCACTGAAACATTACAAGCTCTTTAAGTAAATCAAGTACCTCAAGGGGTTTCGAACCAGCAAGAGCAGGCAAAACCAAAAACATTGAAAATCCTCTCTGTATTACTGTGAACAGCTGTATAGAGGACTTTGAGTTTTCATGGTCTGTGAAAATAAAAACATAATCCAATGTCACTCCACCTTTTTTTAGGTCTTTCAGTTAAAGCATGGAGATGGTCCCAAACCCAGTTACCCCTCCTCTTACATACAGATCCCCATCACCAAAATAACAAAGGATATAAAGCTGTCAGGGTCAAAATAATCTTTTGCTGAATTATTGCCAGTATTGTTTGCGCAGGTTTTTGGTCAAAATAGCACTGGAGTTCAGAGGGGACTTTTGAGTTCATCAGTATGAGGACCAATCTGACAAACTCAATGCTCAGGTAGAAGAGAGAAAGGCTGCTGAGGGGTATGAGGCGAGGGGGCTTGACTTTATATCAGTACCCACATTCACATTTGACAGACTTGTAATGCAGACCACAAGTCTTTGGAGAGAGACAGGAGTAATTGTCCCTCTAGAACTCCTGAGCAGGTGAGTAGATGTTGCTTGGTATTAATGATGACATGATCCTTGCATCAACAGTTCCCACCGTCACCAAGAGCCCACTGTGGCTAACAGCTACATCTTTCACTTAGCCATGGCATCGTAAACTGGAATTAATATGAAGAACTGTGAGTGTTTGCAAGTGAATGTGGACATGTGCGTTTCTTTGCTGTTGAGATGGAAAAAAAGGTAGAGAACTTTTTTCTATTCCCAGAGTTCTTTGGCTTGATGTGTTTCTAAGAGGGTGAGGTGTGCATTCTCAGGTGACTGATGAGGTTGCGCTGCTGGGTGAACTTCCCCCCGCATAGCTGGCATTCATACGGCTTCTCCCCAGAGTGTACACGCATGTGCTCCGTCAGACGGTACTGGCGTGTGAAGCGCATGCCACACTCTTCACACGCAAACGGCTTGAGGCCAAGGTGGCTGCGCATGTGGCGTGTCATGGTACCCCTCTGGGTGAACATTTTGCCACAGATGTTGCAGGGGAAAGGCCTGGTCAGCCAATGGCTCTTTTCATGTTGTCTCAGAGTTGCGGGGTCTTTGTAGCTCTTACTGCAGACTGTACACTTGAACGGACGCGCTTCAGAGCCAAAGCTAGAGGGACCCACGGGGGCAGAGAGGTCCTCTGCCTCCTCCTCGTCTTCCTCTTTCACAAAGGTCCCTGCCTCTTCTTTGATGTAGAGCTCATCCTCATTGTGAGTCTCCACGTGAGCATTGAGCTGCTCAGAGCTGGGGAAGCCCTTACCACAGGGAATGCACACATAGAGGTTGTCCCCAAACGCTGGCTCAAAACCTTCTTGCCGGTAAACGTAGTTGGCGCTGTGGTTTCCCCCTCCTGTTCCTCCTCCACCTCCTGCACTCTCTCCGTCACTTTGCCCGCTTTCATCAGTGTGGTCTTGGCCATTTTCCCCTCCTTCGTCCTCATCTTTACATTGGAAGGACTGGTCAGAGGAGCGTCCATCTTTAGGACCCACAATCACCCCGTTAACAAGGGGCCTTTCATGATCCTCAGACTTCAACCCTGATGCCTCTCTCTTAGGCCATTCGTTCTTGCGGGCACCTTGCCGAGATTTCTTTTGGGGTGGAGGGCCATCTGGCTGGTTTTGGTTGTCCTCTGAGGCTTTGGAGGAGGAGTTGAGCTCCTCTGAGCCGGTGTCGACACCTGGTAGGGTGGTAGAGGAGTCATCCAGTGAGGCACTGTTGGTTGTGGATACTGAGGCAGATTGAGGGGACTCTTGGGATATGCTGTGTGGGCTGAGGGCATCAGTGGCTGTGCCAGCAAAGGGAGGGCTCTTCTTGGAAAGATCTAGTCCAAGGTCTGGTTCCCCAGCACTTCCTCCACTGCTGAGATTTCCATTACTGCTGCCATTCCCCCCATTGCCATTCCTCCCAGAGCTGCCAACAAACATTTCGTCATCTGAGAGCTTGTCCCGAAGGCCTTCATCTGGCTGTGGTTGGTCGACGTCGGATGGGGTCGGAGGATAGTGGTTTTTGGGGCCAGCTGGCGTAGAAGTGGAAAGGCGCTGGTTGTTGAGGCGTGAGCGGCTTTGGGGACCTGGAGTGGAGGGTTTACTTGGCAGGGATTTCCCACCACTGCGCTTAAGCTTCTTTCTGCACAGAGCAGCGAGGTCATGGAGCTGGAGGTAGCTGGCTGCGGTTAAGAGGGCAGTGTAGTTCTGTTCATTGCTCTGCTCTGAGGAGGACATGAGCTTTCCAGTGTAGATGAAGTCCAGAACTTGTCTGAATACAGAGGGGTTAACCATCTCTGTGTCGAGGTTAATGAGGTTATCGTGAAGGACCAAAGACTTGAAGTAGATGCTGCTGGCCGCCAGGATGTTCTTGTGGGCGCGGAACAATGCATTCTCCACCACGATGATAACATCACACAGGAAGCCCTTGGCTCTCTGCTGGTTGAGTTGCAGCAGCAGTTGTTTGGCATGATTTGGCAGTTCCATTTCCACCTTCCTTCTTTCCTTTGCTCTCTCTCTGTCTCTCTCGCTCTCTCTCTCTCTCTTCCTACACGAGCACCACCGGAAGCTGAAAGAAAAATAAAGAAAAAGGCAGTTAGTTTGACATTATATACATTATAAATGATTCTTCAATACAGTTTTAAGAATGACATGCTCAAGTTCAGAAAAAGCTTGTTTTACCAAGCAATGAGTTGTACGAGATAGCAAACAGGGCTTGCATTTTAGAAAATGTTGTGCAAGCTGGGTTACATTTTTTGTTTATTGCAGTGCAGTAAGAAAAAACCATGACAGTGACAGTGGTTCGACATCTGATATTTATAACTATTAATCTTCATGTGTTATGACTCCAACTGTGAGTATAGCAATCCAAGCTATTAGCGCTCACAGAATTAGTCAACTGTTAGCATGGCGTGCCACAAAATGAAACAACTGCTTAGAAACTGGAACCCTTCCCTTCCTCACAACTTCCCTTTTAAACAAATTGAAACTCTATGGATCAAGTTCTGATACACCTTGCCACTGTTCTGGCACAAAGGCCAAAGAGGCGTAGAAGAAGAAAGGGTAGAGTGACTACTTTCTTAAGGTGCCTCCCCTCAGCTTCTCATCCCTACCACCGCAGAGTAACTCTAGTTTCGGTGGGGTGCCCTCTTTGGAAACCCGGCTCACTCTAGCCTCCATTAGGTCATGGTAATGTCAGCCCTGCCCCATTGTCTAGAGGTGGGGGTCGGTGCCACAGCAGGGCCGGGGGGAGGGATTAGGTGACACCTGAGCAGGTAAAACTACACAGGAGCTAGGGCGAG